AATATTTACAGGAGTCAAAACGCCAAAAAATCTATTGATCTGGATGAGCCATCTGGACGTCCGGATCTGAACTGGACAGTGTAAAAGTAGCCGTTACGCGTCAGATGTAGAATGGTAAAAAATTAGACCACTGGAGCTTCCGAACTTCGAATGGAGAGAAAGTCCCTGGATGCTTTTCTTCATGATAAATTTGATCAATGTAGAGTTTTGAAGGATCTTTTCACTCGACTATTCAAGACGAGATCTTATAATAATTTGATCATCGAGTTAAAATCATTTTCACTTAAATCCTTTTCTTCTGAAAATGATTTTTATACAATCATCTAGTTATAACCCTTTTCTTCCTTATGCATAATTTTTTTTTTTTTAGCTATTTTCGATTTATTTTTTTTTTTTTGAGCTATTCTCGATTCAATGCAAAGAATTAAAGTATTTTACATTTACATATAAATTCAAAGCATCTATGTTCAATGTCAGTATACTTCAAAGTTCTTTCTCTTAAATGCTAGGGTTTTGTCTTTACATCCATCAATATGCCAATTTTCTTTTCGCGTTGATTATTAATTGCACATATCTTGATCTTTGTATTTTCATTTGTATTGACTTTGCGATAATCTCTATAAACACTCAAATGAAATTTGCTAGAAATAAACGCAATTTATTTGTGATAATCAAAATGAGAAGTCAATCATAAGTCAACACTTCGATCTTGATACCATTCTCCATATCTATCGTGAGATAAACTAGGTAGCTGACTCACTAGCTATATACAAATAGGAACGATGTCGATATTAGGAGTATGGTTCTTTTGCTTGATCCGACGATTTCGGGTCCTAGTATAGATTGATGGGCTTCCCACGTTTTCCTTTAGGCAATTTTTCTTTTTTTAACGTTCGTATAGGAAGTAGTACTTCCTCTTCTGCCTCCTCCCCAGTCCCCAGAAACAAGAAAAACGACTACTTCTCCAAAAATTTCATCGTATCCATTTTTCATGATATTATGCATGAATCAGGTATATAATGGTGAATTCTTCAGAAAAAATTGTATCTTCCAGGCCTAATGAATTAGAATTTCCCTATTGATTCAGGTCATTTCGTGACAAACGGATCATTTACGATAAAAAGGATGAGCTTCATTACTCATTTCAGATTTTATTCCTTTGGTGGAAAGTTAGGCATATGCGCCTCCATTGTATTAATTACTTCATTTACATCATGGTAGGTGAATCCTAATCCTCCCAATCCTGTATTGGTGGACCTATAAGATACATCGGGAAATTAAATTACGTACGTTAGTCCATCTTGACATTTAACGGGCGCAACTACGAATTGGATGTTTCTCTCACTATTGTTCTGTATTGTTACATCGACACATCACATTTTTTCAGAAAATGAGAAGACGTATCGATACATTTCAGGGGTAGTGCGGTAAATAGTTCATGGAGGAGTTTGAATCCTATTCTTTTGGGACTGAATGTGTTAATATTATTATTCATATGATAATGTATATTAAGTGTGATTAATAATAATAGTGTATGCGGCAACCTGTGCACTTGTCTTCTTTAATCCTCTGAGGTCGGAGTCGCAAAGAAATCTAACCTTTTTAATCTTGACCCCTCCTTTCTATTATCTTTTTTTCCACATTAAAAAAAGTTGGCTTCAAATTTACGTTAATTACGTCAAAGATTCCCCACTAATTCTCCAGAATCTGCATGGCACCTTTTTTTTTTGCTAGTATCAAAATATTCATATAGTTTATTCCAAAATATCAAAATAAGGAATATCTCAACCCTATATAGTTTAGTTATTGTTTCACAATGATATGAGAATTTACTTTCTAATTTTCCCCTCATATCAACCAGGGGCATAGACAGAGAGGACAACTCTCGACCTTAATCCCAATACGTTTTTTGAGTTATGCTACAAAAACTGGGGTAGGCGACAGGTTTTAAATCCAGGGGACACATGTCACACATTGATTCGGTAGGTTAAAAATAAAAAAAGACAAAATATGTGGTGACACGTAGGCCTGTTTTCAAATGTTGTCTGGAGCCCTGTCTGAGTAGCTTATTCCAAGTTTTTTTTATGTGTAGAACGATTTCTGTTTATGATTTTTTCTTTTATGCAATAGTCCAATATATCGGTCCTTGATTTCACCTCTGGTCATAACAATAGCAATATAATTATATATAAAGGTCATGTTGTGATGTAATGGTAATAATAAACAAAAATGGGACGCCTCTTTAAATCCTCGAGGGCCATTCCATTCACTTTAGTTTCGGATCGCCGCATCCCCTCAAAGTTGAGATTCCAATGGGGTTTGTTGCCCCCTAACCCTATTCTATTTAATTCTCTCCACTAAAAAAGTGGATTCTGTTTCCAGTTCCGTGCAATTACTAGTTACTACTACTGCTTATGCAGAAGCGGTAGGACCCCCACTTGTTGCTTATTGGGAAGCACCTAATCTTAATTAATTACAAACTTAATTATTAATTTTTATTTTTATTTTTTATTAGTGGGGTTAAGTTAATCAATATTGCATTTAACTTCAAATTTAACCAAAGTTGAAGAAATAATTAATTAATTTTTTTATAATCGATACATAGTATGTGTGTCTAATGATGATGGAATATATGTTATAAAAGTCCGCATCACTTATTGATAATTATGGATGTGAAATATATGTTAATGAATTGCCAAACTTATGAATGATGTCACACTAAAGTTCAAGTTCCTGTTTGGTAGAGATTAAAATTAGATTTTTAGTAAATTTTGATAGAAGTTGGTGAAATATATATTTAAAAAGTTGTGATATTCATAAAATATGTGGTAAAAAAAATTGTTTGACTTTTACATAAATTAAAATCTAAATTGTAATCAGTACCAAACAGGGTCCGAATTGTATTTACTATATTGAGTTAATTTCAATAATGATCATAGAAATCCAAACAAATACTCAAATTGGTCACTAAAAATTTTTGTGATTAATTTAGTCACTCAAATTAAAAATATATTACATAATTGATAAATTTTTTACTCTTATTAAAGATGTATCTAACATTATAGCCGTTAAACCTTTAAATGAACTAACAATCAATCCTAAAGCAAACAATTCCTTCCAACTAGTCCACTATTTTAGCTCAGTTGCGACATACTTACTATTTTTAATTAGTTATAAAAATTAGGATTAATGCTAGATTTAAAAAGAGCAATTAGAAATTTTATTTGTAAGCAAGATTTTTTCCCCGTAAAACGCGTTTCATTTTGAAATTATGTCACACTATGAACATAATAATTGTTGGTCGATATCAAGATTTAATGGGCTGATGTTGAATCCGTAGTGGATACAACTAATAGAGTGACCAATTTTAAAATTTCAGTCGAACTTTATTGACCATTTATGAAATTAACAATTAATATATTTGTATGTCTCTTTTATCCACGGGCTTATGTCAGACTAATGCTGTTTAGAAAGTGGAATATTAATGAAATAACAAAAGGTGACTGCATTTTGCGTATAAAATACCGATTTGCATTATGTTTCGTGCATTCCAAACGAGAGCTCAAGGGATGGGGAAACCCTAATTAATTAAATTTATATTTTATTCATTTATTTAGTGTTAGGCTGAATGGCCCACTCGTCTCCCAGCCAGTGGTATCTTCTTCCACATCAGTATCTCGTCGGATTCCACAAATGTCCAACCTAATTATTTTATTACATAACTTATACTCCTGATATCAAACGTCATGTTTTTGAAATTGATTTATTTGTATACTTTTAATATACATAATCCTTTATATCACTCACAAGCGAGCCCAAACGTAATAAATTATATGTTAACCCCCTCCATGTGAAGGAGGTGTAAATAACTATATATATCAAAAGTGTACATGTAGCATAATCCTTTTTAATGGTGCGAGGATTTGAATTCTAAACTATTTAGTTTATAAATTGGACACATTTTGATCCACATAATTTATCGTCTCAAACTTACAAGAAAGTCGCTCGAGATATCTTCGAGAGGCTCTTTAAATATGAAATGCTCTCTATTTTAAATAGTGAACTATTAAATTAATTTAGGTGGTGTGTTTGACTTTTCAAATTTGGAGAGCCAAAATTACTCACCATAGTTAGATGCATTCAAAATATTTTAATTTTCAATTTAAAAAAATAATAAAATAATCTAAAGAAAAGTTAGTTTAAATAGAAGAGAGAGAAAATATAAAAAAACTAATAAATATTTTTTGGGAGTTATAAAATTTAATTGTTGAATATAAAGAATACTTTAAAATTTTAACTCTCTAAATTTATAGATGCTCCCCAACTAATAGAATATGCTTCTTAAAAATAGAGTCTTGAAGATGCTCTTACTCTCGAAACATGCTCCAAGAGATGCGTCAATATGATTAAGCCAAATCTCACCTGGATGCTTTAACGTTGATCACTTCTAAAAGATTTCTACGTTCACAAAATAACTCATCGTTGCCTCGCCCCATTCCCGCCCTACCCCAACTCCCAAAAGCCCAAGTCGTTGTCATCCCTAGAAGAAGATCATGACTAAATCAAACACTATTAGAAAAGTATCTCAAAATGACGTATGAATTATGAATGCCCAATTAACAAAGTCAAAGCTCAATAATTTAGATAGAATAATAAATTAACGGGCCATGGGAGCCAAGATCCCCCAAAGCATCCATTTGATATTTGCATTATCAGAGTGGAATATACAATCCAGATTCCTTGACAAATGAATACCACTAAAACAAATATAAAAATACACAAAGATATAATAAATAAATGCACACACGAAGAGTTAGTCTACAAAGCTTGTAAGAAAATGATTAATGAATTTATAAAGAGAAGTGTGTGACGTGGGATGTGTGTAAAATCAAATAAATGTAGCTACAGATAGCCTAATCAAGACATTTTCGCCTAATCAAGACATTTTCTCTTCATCAAAGTCTTGGTATCTTAATCTAAATAAAATTGAGAAAAATATAGAGGCAGCAAGGAGAAATACCAAAAAATTGCAGAATAAAAAGTGGGTAATTCTCGCAGTTAATACAAATAAGAATTCTATATTTAAATGGCTTACTTGGGGATTGATGAGAATCTAATCCAAAAACACAAATATGTTATGTACTGTGTACAAGGCTTGAATAAGTACACTTGTATGGTCTAGGAGACGAGCCTTGGTTGTCCATAGCTTCCTTGCCTGCTGTAGCCAACCTTACTCAACTGAGGATGCTCTCAAGTTCTTTGTATGTTTCCCCAACACGTCAAACAAGTGAACCCGTTGCATCTCTTTCGCTGAACCAGAGCAAAATGAATTGTTAAAGAAGTAATGATTAAAATGATAGCATGTGACGGACATTTCTAACCTCTCGAGTACACAATTCAACGGCAAGGAACAGCTACAGAAAAGATATAACACTACAAAGTATATAAATGACTTAAAAGATGAAATTTAAGAAAACATACAATCAAAAAATATAATATGATCCAACAAAAGAGTGAAACTACAAAGTGAATGGCTATATGCATGCATATAACTATAATAAATAATTAGTTTACAGCAGTCCAGAATGCAGTAAATATGATGTAACAAAAAAAATTGAGTCTTGAGAAACCATTAAATCAGAGATATAATTCACAACATTATTCAACGAGAGAAAAAAAAAAGGTAATAATTATACCAATCCTCATTAATATAAAAATGATGAGAATCTGTCCCCACCCGTGATGGAAAAAACACAGGAATTAACAAAAAATGAAAGGTCTACATTTAATGACCTGATGATCCAAAACCCCAACACCACCCTAACATCAACCAAGTTAAGATGGATGCTTTAAAATCGTTAAAAATAAATATTTATTAAATTGATTTGATACATGTAGCCTGTAGTTGTGATGATAGAACGTTTATTAATATAGAACGAAGTACTTTTCTAACTTTTTCTGATTAGTTATTTCCAAATCTTGTTTCTCCTCTTCCTCATCTTACAATGCAACCGCATGAGCAATAATACTCATTAATTCCAGCATAAAATATCTCACAATGATTCAATGAATATATAAAGTAATGCAGAGGCCAATATCGAAAAAACTATTTTTTGCACCATTCCAACTGCTATCAAAATGTAACAGAAGTACAGTCATGTACCTTGATCTGGCTACTTGAAGTCTTGTAGTTGTGATGATGTTAGAGACTAACGAGAACACTCAAGGTCTCAGGAAAATAAGTATTTCCCATTTTGAATTAATTTCTAGTAATGAATGGCTGAAGATGAGAAATTCCAAAGGATTCTCCGCTTATGTCTGAAATCAATTTAAACTTCCTTCGAGAGTTTGACATATTTGCTAATTATAACTCCCAACCATTAATCTATAATACCTCATGATTAATGTCAAAAAGAATCTTTGAAATGACATTAACCAGCAGAGAGCAGTAATATCGACCAGCACCTAACCCACATACAGTACTGGTTAGTTGACAGAGTGAGTAGCTTAGCTCCATCAAAAGCTCCAAGCTAATGAATCTCAAAAGGAAAGGGACAAACTTAAAATACGATCATCGCTGCTTGTTTATGTTTGCACATTACTTTCAGTATAATATCTTAACATTGCTTTGCAATGGAAATCATGTACTCACAGTATGGTTTAGACAATAATACTACAATAACCAATTATTAAAAGTAGAAAATGGAAAAACTGAACCTTCAATAACACACAATAGATTTCCCCGCCCAGTGCAAAGCAATTGCAGAAGTATTTTAGAGAAACAAAGATGCAAAAAAGTCTGCCCATAGTTCTAGCTTTCTTGACCATTTTTTTTTTATCTTTTTCTATCTTGAAACAAGTGCTTTCCACCACTATTTTTCTGGTTAAAAGAATCATTCAAGAAAGCAAGGATTTAGCACTCTATCGATCATACTTCAGCACAAAAAGATGAATCCTCATGGTATGTTTTATTACACAAACACTTGAAACGTTCTAGATGACTTTGCAGTGGTTCCAGGAGTCAACTTAGAACAGACATCGAAATCAATCCAAGCCGTGGTTAATATCCGTATTTAAGGAAAAGTAAAATGATTAATTAACAAGCAATAACTTAGAATCAAAGCACAAAAACATATGAAACATTTTCCTGGGTATTTATAGGACAGCATACAATAAATGCTCTCAAAATATGGAATGAGGGTCTGTATGACAGAATCCATTAATTCATTTAACATCGACACATACATAAACATTCAAGAAACATGAAAAAATTGGCCCGGGGGGGGGGGGGGGGGGGGGGGGGGGGGGGGGGGGGGGGGGGCTGCTTGTTACCTTCCTCCAAGGAAAGCTGAATTGACCTTTTCTCCAGCTCAACAGCATGCCTGCTGAGCTCAACTGAAGAAAGTGATCGAAGCACTATCCAATTTAAATGAGAAAAATCCATGTTAAAAAATATATAATGAAGAAAATCAAAAGCTGCTTTATTAGAACTAAAAGTCATACTCTGAACATAATCATCTTGATCTGGTTGATCCACAATTGTTAATAAATTCTGCAATTGGCAATATCTCTCTTCCCAGTGCTTGACATTCACTCTCTTTGGATTATCTAACAAAGAATTGGCAGAATTAACATGAACATAGCTAATATTTGCTGGAGATGAGATATTATTTGACTTTCCATGAGAAGGAGAAACACAATGTTTTACAGACAAGCCTGATGCAGAAACCGTCTGAATTGATGGAGAATTTGAGATAAAGGTTGCAGGCTCCTTCATCTCGGGATTTTGTTGAGTTGTTTTACCCTGGTCATTAGATTTCCTTCCATGTGGACAGACAATAGCATCATTTTGATTGACACAAGAACTTGTTTTACCAAATTCAGTTTCAGCTTTTCTACGAACATAGACAATATGGCCATTCCCAGAAGTACTTTTGGGAGATTGGTGATCAGGCGATGTCGGCAAACACTGGGGCATGGGTCTTTTGGTGTCAGAATTCTCAAAATGTTCACCAGCAGGTTGGCTCTCCGTCGTAAATAAAGGGTCTCCAATGGATTTTGATCCCACCATTGTACTATAATTCTGTGGGTCCAGAAATGATTTTTCAGTGCAGTTACTGGCACTGATTTGCTAATCATAATTGAGCAAACAAATTTCAACATCATAAATCCATACCTCTTAGACATAGAATCTTTTGTGCTGAACTGCCTAAAATTACTCATTCTTTAATGCTAAATCTTAATCTAAACTTGAAATACGCTTACTAATATCAAAACAAAAGTTTCCATGTAACTGGAAATTTATGTTACTGAGAAAAGAGAAAACAACTAGAGACATAAAGGATGAAAGTTTAAAAATGTTATTGTAATCTCTGTGTAGGTTCCTTCAATATTCAGTTGTTTTAATTAGATTTTTTTATCTCGTCTCTATGTGCGAGTGCTAGGGGGGTTGTTAGTGTAAGGATGTCTTGTAACTTGATCGACCAAGAGAGTGAAGCTATTTGGCAAATTTCAAAACAATATGATGGAGAATGAGAAGGGATATTATTATATTTAATTTCCAATTTTAATGCGTATTTTAGGAAACAGTTATTTAGAGTATTTTTCTATTTCAACTAGCATTAGTTTAAACCCTATACAAAGGGTTCTATGCAATGTAATTGGAACAACCTTTGATTATGAAATAAATTGATATTTCCCTCTTATTTCTTCTCTCTTCATCTTCCCCTCTTCTTATCTCCCCTTTCCCCTTCTCCTATAATTCTCTTATTACATCCTGCATCACAATAACTCTGGCAATGTTCCCAATAACAAGTCTCAACGATGGATATAAGAAGGTTGTGTAAGTTGACAGCCAACTTACAATTAAATCCTTCACATCATTTCCTTGGTCAGTAAATACCAGTTATGGATTTCATCAAACCCAAAGTATAGTGAAGACTTGGCAAGTATCAGCTAGGGCATACGCATTGAAGGAAACAACACACAGTACCTGGATATACCAAGAACTAATCTCGGGATGGTAAAAATGTAAATTTAGGTAATAGATTTTCAGTAGGAACTTGGAATATAGGGAAACTAAAGAATCCTACAAATAGTAGATGTGATGCGTAGAATGAAGTCAACTTACAAGATGTGGAATAGATAATAAAGAAGGCAAAAAATTTGGGTATACAATCTATAAACTTCAGTATGCATGTATGGAGAAAAGAAAAAAATAGCAAGATAATGTAAATCAAGATATGAAAGAGTACATATTATTTTTGAAAAAGTAGGCTGAATACAAGGGACTTTCAAGGATAAATTTTTGAAGAACGAAAGTTAGATGTAAATGGAATGATAACCAAACAGGGAATCAAGTGGCTCATTCGTTAGGAACCTAGCAAAGAAAGTCATAGGAAATTTTAAGGGTAAAAACCTACCTAATAAAGAAACACAGTGGTCGAACTAGAAGGTTCTAGTGGAAATTAAGGATAATGCATGGAGGTTTTACAAAATATAAGCTAGCAAAACAGGAAACCAAGAAGGTAATTCAGGAGCCCTAGGGAGGAACATTTGAGAAGTAAAATGATTTACTTGGAAACAGGGATTACAAGATATATTGTGCAAGGGAAAAGAAAGTATAGATCTAAACCAAGTTAAATAAATGTACTTTAAGGATAGAAACTAAAAGTACAATTTCATTGTTATTTCTAGAAATTATTTAATAGAACACGTAAAGTACATCGTGCGAATCGGTCAAACTCTATTGAAGATCAAAAAAGCTAATTGTAATAGAAGCATCTAAATTTTGAAAGTGAAGATTATGAAGTGATTTCATAAAGATAAGAAAAACAATTGATTTGGATTAACACCTGTCAAAGTATGTAAGTCTTTATTTGGGGTGGGTATTTATATTAGACAAAAAAGTTTTAACGGGATATTAACGAGTAAAAATGTTTTTGATGAATAAAAGAAGAATGTTATAATGCTTAGTTTACAAAATAATCAAGGTTTTATTCACAAGTTCACAAATTGTATATACGTATTGAACTCATAATCCTACCATAACCAGTTTGGTTTTATGCCATGATGTTTGATTCAATTAGTCATACTTGATAGTGTTGGATCGAATAGAGAGGGGAAAAGAGGACTCATGTTACCGGTTTCAAGCTTATTTAGAATAATGTGCATCCTGTTGTTGCTATTGTAATGGAGTTTCAGATGATAATCGTGTAAGGCACCATATTTTATTGTCATGAAAGTGATCAATATCTATGATGCTCGGACTCGGATACGAGTACGTATCTAAGTGTCGGGTCTTTTATTTTCAAAAATGTAAAATACAAAGACATGGTTAAAAAGAATCAAATTCGAACATGGGTACATGAATACGTCTTTCAAACGTCAATTTTTTTCTAACCTAAAATGTCAATTTGAATATACTAAAATCAATTGTTTACAAATAAAGAAATGAGTATTCAATAAGAGGTTAAGACGAATAAAAGAGAATTTTGGGGTTTAGCTTTCAATTATATGAAGTTAATTATTAAATGTTATATAAAATAGAAAATGAGGGACTCGATTGCAATTTGGACTTAGTGGAGCACTAAGTAGCATTATATGGAACCCATTTTCATTTCATACAAGCAAAACCCTAAACTGCTGATACAGAGAGAGAAAGAAGGAATAAGGGAAGAAAAGGGAAAGAAAAAAGAAAGAAGAAGAAGAGAAAACCTAGTGACGTCACATTTCTCCACCCTCTCGGAAGCGGTGCTGGGTTTATAGAGTAGAAACGGGAAAGAAAAGGAAAAGAAAAAAGAAGAAGCAAAAAATGGCGAAGTGTCCGGTTGAAATTTGGAGGATCTAATATATATCTCATACCCGTACCTATGTCGTGTCGTGTCCAACATGGGTACTTGATGCCGGATAAAGAGGATTCCGGCAGAGAATAAAACAGCGGTGAAGAAGCAGAATTGTAGAACCTTTGCAAGAACGAGAAGAGAAGAAGAAGACGGCAGCAGGGGGAAAGAAACCCGGAGAAGAAGGAGAAGTTAGGGAGAAAGGGAAAGGAAAACTTGAGGCACAAACATATCATTTATTTTCATCGTTCATCAACTGTCTTAAATACGCAACAAAACATAAATAAATAGCAAAACAAAAACCCTAAAGAGAAGGGTTTGGGCCAAACCCATTATACAAGCCTAATAACAAAAACATAAATAATAATCCAAATAGAATATAACTAATAGTCCAAATAGAAAATAAATAGTAAATGGATGTCCGCATCAACTCTCCCGGGGTGGGAGAAAAACTAGGCCCCGTCGAGTGTATAAATCAAAATGTTGCAATGAATCTGATGCTAAAGGCTCCAAGTCATACTTGGGGGACGATCTTTCTGACGAACCAAATATCGAAATTCCACAAATGATGACAACGCCAATTGCAAATTACCCGCAAAAATATGAGCTGACCAAGATAATTTAGGCGAATGAGGATTTTGTCGACTCTTATAAAGCTCCAATGAATTTAGCTCACGCCGCTGAAGTCTCTCTTTGGGAATCTATGTGCTGCCAGAATCAAGTCGATCCATCCAACGAACAAGAAAGCACTAAATCTCTCTATCATTGGTTAACACAATCTGTTCATCTAAAATAACATTAATTTTATTTTTGTGCGCCATGATAGGTGGGATTGAAGTGGACATAGCAAAAGATTCAATGTGGGAATTCTCATGTGGAGGTAGAAACGAGTCATCAGAGGGGTTAAAATAGCCTTTGTAAGCATTGAAGTCCATAACAAATAAAATACGGTGGTAGTAATAATGTTATAAAAGGTCATTGACATATGCATTTAGACCAACATGCTTTGAAATTTTAAAAGGACCAGCATTACGATCTTGCAATATAACATAATCCCCAATAACAAATTCAAAATGTTATTTATGCCAATTAGCTCGAGGTTTATATAATGCGTTACTTGCTTCAAATTGTTTATTTGTCTCAATATGCAAGCTATGAAAATGTGATACAACTACCTCAACTGACATAGACAATCAAGCATGTGGGTGCATAGGAATAGGATCTAAAGATTTCCTAGATTTACAACCATGGATGACTTCAAAGGGATTTAGACCTAAAGACTAGTTCACAAGATTGTTAAATGCAACTTGAACGGTTGGGGGATCAAGTCCCAATTCTCAAGATTTTTCGGACTAGAAACTGTAATAAATTGCCAAGATTTTGGTTAGCAATTTTGTTTTGAACATCAGTTTGAGGTTGCTCAGTAGTGGAGAATTTTGATTTAGTGCTAACCACAGGCGACTGAATTCTCCAAGGGTGACTAGTGACATCATCAAGCTCTTTAACTTGGGTAAGGGTATGACATATAACATGTGATCGAGAACTGTCGGAGATAAGGGATATAGTATCTAAAGTCTCGGGAAGAGTCTGGATTCCACCTAAGGAAGTGTCTCACTATCATCCAAGTCATCAAAATCTTCAATTTTAGGTTCATAAACTAGATCTTCTAACGGCTCATTTATTACATTCTTTCGTTCTTCAATGACTAAGGTTCAATTAAGACATTTGGAAGAAATGTGACCAAAGTCCTTACAGTTGACGCACTGCAAGTGAGAAGAAGACCTTGGAGTTTCAGAAATTCTACCCTTATTTTCCAAGATTGGACAAACATTAGAAGGGGGAGGTCATAGAAGGGACTTAACGGGAGGAAGTGGAGCCAATGAAACCAAAGGATGATTGTCAATACGCTTTCTACATAGAGAAGAAGGTCTTGGACTATCACGATTTTTACAATTATTTTTCCAAATGGAAGGAACATTAGACGGAGAAGGCTTTATGATAGACTTATGGTGAGACGACGCTAATGAGATGGGTGAACGACGATGACCACGCTTTTCATATGGAGTACTAATAATCAGCTCATAATCTCGAGCTACAGAGTAAGCGTGATCAAGAGTAGTGATACCTCGAAGGAAAAGCTCACGCCTAAGATCATCTCTCAGACCTTGGCTAAACCTACTCAAGGTCGTGGTCTCATTCTCAATTAAATGACATTTGGATCGAAATTTCTCAAATTGTGCGATATACTCAGTCACTAGTTGATTTCCTTGTTTAAAGGCATTCCATTGAGTAAGAATTTCAAAATTATCTCGTTCTCGCTCACAAATCTGACCCCCATCCCTGCGATCGTGTCTAAAGCATTTTTGATCATCATGTTGATAATGATAATGTCTATTATGGGACACTTTAGATTTATGGACATCTATCGAATGAGGGATTTGTTTAAAATTTTTCAAACTAACAGATAGGGTCTTACTTTCTTCAAGAGTAGCGGTCATTTGGGTTTGAATAGCCGCTATTTGTGGGGTGAGTGAATCGAATTGTAAGGGGTTCATGTTTAAGGTACTGGAGCTAGAAGTGACAAGACGACCAATATGTAACTACATGCACTGTAATAGCAGCTTAATGACATGCAATAGAGAGATCAATGAACAAAAACAGCTTTTTTTTTATTTTTTTATTTTTTTTTAAATTTAAATTTTGGGATTAAAATCCAAATATAACAAGCTAATACTGCTTGTATATGTAAAATAACAAAGCAAGGGTCAAAGACTAGTCAAACCCTAATCATGTAAAATAAGCAAGGTAAAAGTGAGATTTAACGAGGTTAATGGATCCAATTACGTGAGTTTAGGTAAAAACTAGATCAGCAGCAGCACAAAAATTTAATTGATGCGATTTTAAACAAAACAACAATATAAACCAATAATAAATAAAAACAGGAACTTCCCTTTCGTTCGTCGAAGTAGCCAACTCAGATCAAGTGGTCAACCAGAATAAAAGATGCACCTGTAAATAATAGAAAATACCTTTTTTTTTTTTAATGATTTTCTCTTTTCCCTTTTCTGTCCCCTTTTCTTTCTTTCTTTTTTTTTTTTTTAATAATCAAATTACACTTATATAAACATAAACAAACCCAAATGCAACGGAGGCAGAGGATAAAAATAGAGGCCGACGTCCCTTTGCTCCAAAATTTGGGGCCCAATTCTTCTGTTGTCTTCCTGGGTCACAGGTCGAGGGCAGCTGGCGGTGGATTGACCACAGGTTCGGCTTAGAGATGAAGTCGGCGATGGTGGATTCTGCCAGCACGGAGTGGTGGTTGAGACGGTGGCTTAAATCGAAGGTGTAGGGAGTTTTGGGTAGTGGGCGGCGTTTTTTTTTTTTTTTTTTTGTGGGGGGGGTTTTTTTTTTTTTTTTTTTTTTTTTAATTTTGTAATTGGATTTCCTGTGGGTTAGGTTGTGTTGGTTGGCAACGTGGTGGCAGAACCGGTGGGTCGTGGGTGTGAGAAATAACCCAATGCACGAGATGCGTTGCTATATGTTGAGTTTGGAATTTTAGTAGTGGCCTGTTGATTGTCGGATTTGTTGGCTACTACGGGGGTGTGACATCTGGTAATTTTGAGAGATGGGTTTTGTGGTATTGTCTGGTGGCAATTTAACGGTGGTAGGACCTATGGATTACGAAAAGGCTTGATGCTGGGTTGGAATTTTCGACGGTTGGAGGCAATAGAGGTTGGTTAAGGAGATTAGGGATAGTGGGTTATGGATTGGTATGGTAGTTAGTGTATAATCGGTTTTGGTGGCGCTGGTTGTTGGACAATGGATGAAAAAGATTACCCAACTTGGCAGTTGTGACTGAATTTGGACAATACAATTGTAATCTGGTATGAGGAGCACAAGTCTAGTGTTTTGTGAAGATGATGGGAAGACATTTCTGGAATATAAGTGAACAATTTCTCAAGTTTTAGCTCTGATACCACTTTGATGCCGGATAAAGAAGATTTCAGCAGAGAATAAAACAGCGGGGAAGAAGCAGAATTGCAGAACCTTTGCAAGAAGGAGAAGAGAAAAGGAAGAGAAGAAGAAGACGGCAGCAGGGGGAAAGAAACCCGGAGAAGTTAGGGAGAAAGGGGAAGGAAAACTTGAGGCACAAACATATCATTCATTTTCATCGTTCATCAACTGTCTCAAATACGCAACAAAACAGAAATAAATAGCAAAACAAAAACCCTAAAGAGAAGGGTTTGGGCCAAACCCACTATACAAACCCAATAACAAAAACATAAATAATAATCCAAATAGAATATAACTAACAGTCCAAATAGAAAATAAATAATAAATGGATGTCCGCATCAGTACTCCTACCATTTCGTAGAGTCCAAGCATCAAAGATCATTATAGCATAAATAGCAGGGTATGCACTTCCTTGTACATCAAAAAGAGCTCGTGTGACTCCTTGTTAACAGCAATGGAGAACAAAGCTGTGCATACATTCATTTCTTGAACAGCTCAAAAGGTGGGACTGGGTTAACAAAGTGTGCTAGCACTAGATTATAGGATCTAATATTTCCAGTTCAAAGCAACACTCTTGATTTCTTAATTGTCCTGTACATTTATATCATTAACTTGTATACTATCATTGATGTCTATTAAGCACCAATTGGAAAAAGCCGATATGCTTTTTTTCAAAACATACTGACACGACACGTTGTCGACACCTTAATTAAATTCTTTAAAATTCTTCATTTATATAGTATAAGTTTAATTTTGTACTTGTATTAATTTTTCTTTTCGAAATCTTTTAAATATGAGTACCTATTTATTATTTAATAAAAACTTTGAGCTACAAATATATAATATTCTTTTATAAAGAAAAAATTACCATGACAGAGTGTCCGAAGAATGTTAATATTCGACACGTGTCCACAGTCCAACAAGCGTTAGACAGGGACATGCTATCGTAGTTGAAGTTCCTGTGCCACAAAGATTGACGCATAACATTTTCTAGAACTCAATTTTAAAAACTTTCACGTCCCTGCAACAAACCCTCCCAAAGTTTAGCATATCAATGATTCGAAAGTGTTCAACATTTAGTGGGAGTAACAACATTTTTTTATTTTTTATTTCACCCAAGGGATATCTATATGGATCAATAAGATAACCCAAAAGTTACAATTTATACAGAAAATGTTGAAAAAGAAGAAGAATGCTATAGATACCATACATAGACATGGCATGGTTTGGTTTGATAATGAGTGCCACAGCCTAATATCAAACGTCATCTTAAACTTTATCCTTATTTATCAGTAACCAGAAGACAATTTGATAGACTTAAAAGAGAAATAACTGATTGAGTAATAACAATGCTAAGGAAAACAGTGATAGATCTAGATTAATCAGTAAAGCAGGTGGAAAGAGAATCATAATTGAAGTTATCTTGACTACTTTGATTTGTGATCCAACGAAAAGAGTTTGTTTCTAGTTCCAAAAAATAAGCAATTGATGATATGGTTGGACCATAATGACAAAGGAAAATGATTAACGAATCGATTTAAGCTATGTTTTGGTGGCCTTAAATTAAGCCTGGGACTTAAAATTCATGGAAAATCAATTAGATCTGAAAGATAACATTTCTAAATCCAATTCCAAAGCTACAATTCGATCTAACCAATGCAGCTTCAGAGACAACCATAATGCAGGTATAACATTTTCAACAGAAAAGTGCAAGGTGAAACAGAATTTCCTAATAAGGTCCTATGTCTGAAATATCATGTTCTGAGGGTCAGTTTTGCCCGGATATAATTGTGAAGTGGCCAATTGATCTTTTTTTGGACTATAATATCAATAAACTAGATGACTTCTGTGGTTCTACCACTTCATAAGAGAATAGCAATTTTTATGGATACATGGTACAGTCTCTATTACCAGTTCTAATTATCAAGTATAAATTATTGCACCTATATAATGGACACAAGAATTCACAACATTTTTATTTTACTGCGTTCACTTAATTAATTCTGTCACAATAAATAATGAAATTCCATGAAATTCCTCATTAAAAAGTTTTAAAACGATCTGAAAGCCACTAATTTAGCTTTGCAGCGAAAAAATAAAATAAAATTTGCCCAATCACCCGAATCTGGGAACAATAAACATACCTCCGTCAATTCACAGATTTTAGTAATCTAAATGTTAATTCAATTCGAAGAATGACAAAAAAAATACCTGAAATTGATGTGACGCAGTATATAAATACCCTAATGGCAGTAGTAGAGTCCTGTTCACCACGGTGTGTGTCGTTGATCAATCCTCGTGACTGGGAATTTCCTGATTAGGATAGCAATGAATCCAGAAGGAGAGTTACAGTTAGACGATCATGTTAGCCTGGAACCATCGTGGTTAGTAGCAATGGATTGAGAGTGAGCGGGAAGATCGAGGCCAAAGGGTCACAAGCAATCTGTGGAGATCAAGGATAATCCAGATCATGGTTCTTTCTCAATACAATTAATTCTATTTTTTCTGTGGATGATGCAATCATTTAATTGAAGTTTATTTTAATGCTATTTAACTTGCAACCCCATTTTGATATAATAGGTTAAATCTAAATCAAATGAATTAGATGAGCCATTTAATTTTTCACTTAAAAAGTTACACTAGTAGCGTTTAGATTGTGGGTGCAATCTCAATCGGACTACATAGCATTACTTTTATGAAAATAATAATGCTATTTGCAGTCGCTCACTGCAGCAGTCGTCATACGTGGCATACACATGACAGGTGATTATTTGATTCATTAATGAATAAAAAAACTACCATATTAATGCATTAAATAATCACATATCATGTGTATGCCACGTAAGGTGACTGTCGCAGTGAGCGACTACGAATAGCATTACTCTTATGAAAATTGGCCCATGTCTCAACATAATTATTTTAAATTCATTTTTTTTTCTAAATTTATTTTCAATCACAAGTTTTCTGAATTCAAATAAAATAAAATAACTAGAGACTTTAAAGCCTATTTTTCTCTAAAATTGGGGCTCAGACAAGGGTTTAATTTCAATTAGTTGACGATTACATGGCATAGGTCGAGAACCATGAAGCTATAAACAAGGTGTAAGGTTATTGGTGCTTTTGCTTTTTGATGAGTATATGTGAAAACAATGAACT